TAGTTATCAAATTTTATTTTATGCATCATCGACAGAAAATTATTCTAAATGACACTTAAAGAAAATGTGATTTTTACGGATTAAATGTCATTTCAAGAACATTTCCAAAGAATCGCATTTGGCGTTTACAATTTTTCTTCGACTAACGGTCCCCATGTGCCCATTTCCTTTTCATGGCACTTTTATACATTCCATTTTCTCGTTGCTGTCGCGACTCCTTGGCCGCTGGCGATGCTCGCGAGGTGCGTAGCGCGCTCGTTAACGTATTCATGGGTTTATGGGACAATTAACCCTTTGAGGGACAGTTTAATTACAGAAGTGATTAAACATCTTAACGTACAAACTCGATGGGCCTCGGACGACGTATATGCATTCGCAACGCGACGTGGCAGGCAGCCGGGTCGGCTGGCAGCATAGCATGGCAAGGGGCGGCAGTCGGGGGTCGGGGGAGGCAAACCAGGCTGTTACCAATTAACATACTAATGACACGAACCGCTTTTCGAGGGCCAGCATAACCGGCCGACACCGAGAGAGAGAGAGAGAGAGAGAACTTCGTGTGGGTATACGCGTGTGACGTCGCCATATTTGCGCGTGCATACGTGGGCATATATCTTAAGAATTGTCGCGTTTATTATGACAACAATTAAAATCAGTCGATCGAAAAATTCTAACGGATCGTCCATGTGTTAAGGATGGATTACACGTAGTTTTTAATAAAATGAAGAAGTTATAAAAAAATTACAGAATGTTCTCTGTATATTGTATTTGTGTGAAATTAATATAAGAAGTTTGATAATTATTTACAACCTGGATTAAAAATTTTTTTAATAAGAAGTAGACATGTTTAAGAAAACAATTAAAATAAAATGAAGTTTTCAATTATAAAATTATATTGTTAAATATATATGAATGTTAACTCTTTTGAATGGTTTCATTCAACATTTATTTTTATACGGAAAGTATAAATTTTCAGTCACTTTTTGCAGAAAGAGACTATAAACCTAATAGGTCAGGATTTGTAGAAAGAATTATTTTGCTAGAGCAGTTAAAAATTTAGCTAAGTATAGAAAAAAATTTTGTTAAACTATGATCAAAATAATTATGAAACATGCTCAAGCTAGTTGCCAGAATGTCAAAACTTTTTGCAACGTTGTTTATCATGCTTGAGTCTCCTACATAATTATTTTGATGCTCCAACAAAATTATTTTCAGATCTGTATCTAGCTAAATTATGAGATACTCCCGCAAAATGGTTCTGCTTTTTCCGTGTATCTAATCGACGAATGAACGCGCGTTGCCCGATGAGAAATTTAATACTGTTAACATTAAATTGATTAGTAATTAATTACTTATTTTGAATATTAAAAGCACTACTGTTGTGCTTTTCTTAAAATTAATAAATAATCGCTAATCAATTTAATACTTACAGTATTAATTCTCCATCTGCAATCTAAATCTTTTTTATCCAACCCAAGCTTTTTTACTGTTCTAAAAAAGAAAAATGAAAAAATTTAAATTTAAAATTACTTTCCAACACTTTCTATTACATTATCAGATAATTTTTTAACTTAAATATTAAAGTATTTGATCTCTCCTTTATTTTGAAAAAATTTGAGAATAAAATTTCGCTTGTGCAAAAAAAGATCCAGATTGCAATCGAAGGATTAAATTTCTTTAAGGAAGTCTCCATAACTTTTCTAAGGATACTTCTACCGGTCTGCGTGATCGTTGGATAAAAATCCTCTCCTATCCTCGCGGAGTTTAATTAAACGTTTATCGGCGTGCAATTACGCGTCGGATCGCAACGTCAGCCGCGCTTTCGCTTGAAACGCCGCGACGAATCGTGCGAGCGACTCCCGATAGTAAATCTTGCTCGACACGATTGGATTTCACGATATTGTGTATCTTCACGGTGGGGCGCGGGGAAAGGTACGCGATACGTGCACGGGCGGGGTACGTGAGGTATGGAAGAGGAGGAGGGGGGGGAGGGAAGGGGAGGACGCAGGGTTGAGCGCGCTAGATTTAATTAGCTGATTATAATGTTTATTTAATTAATATAATTGGCAAAGCCCCGCGAGCGTGTGTATAGACTTACACGGGCGCCCCGCGGCCATTCCGCCGGCGTTGCATTTAATGACGTCCATTAACGAACATTTACATTAGCAGTAATTATTATCGCGTGGGCGACGTCAGTTGCGCGTGGACCGACCGAGGAATTTTTGGGCACACTCGTTACCGGGTGCGGAGGCCGATAAAAGCGACGATTATATTCCCTCCCTCTCTCACCCCTCCTCCCCCCCTTTCTCTCCCTTTCTTTCTCGCGCACGTACGCTCGCGCGCGCGAGATTATTAACGCTATTTTGTTAAACTTTCCACACGCTGCGCCATATAAAACCCGATCGACGCCAAAATCACTGTTTAACCGATATTCGTTACTTGATATTAATTGAGCGTTTACACCGACGCGATGTTTGTTGTTCGATACCGCTTCCGGCAGCAATATGCAGCGTAAATATATGCGGCGTAATAGTTAGCGGAACGAGCATTTCCACACCATGTTTTTCGGTGCGTCGTTAACTTTTTCACGTGTAAAACTTTCCGTAATACGTAATGCTCTCGAGCTTCTCCTGCACGTTTGCTCAATTTCCTAATTGATCTTCAAAACGCAATAATAATGCTCAATATTGAGTTTACGCTCCTCAGATTATTTATTTATTTATTGTAAGATTATAATGAGACATTGAAGTCTTTTTCACGATTTGAAATTCTATGTCGTATGCAAAATATGAACTGCTGTCGGATCATTTTTTCTCTGCTTTTCCCTCAATCCTCTTTCAGAACTAACGCCAAGTCTGTAACATAGTTACTGACTAGGTTTGTGAGACTTATTTAATTTATCTTGTCTAAAAGGCACTAATTTAATTTTGAGGAACCAAAATGACATAACTTGTATAAAAAGGAACGAATGTATATAAGTTATTACTATATTTTGATAAGAATAATCCAAATTTGAATGAAATAGACCAAACATGCGCTTTTTACTATGTTCAACAATTTTTACAACAAAACAAAATCTTGTTTCTAAATAAAACTTGGATTTTATTAATTCAAGAACTTTCAAATAAATATTAATTCATGATCCTACGTGACTAATTCATGACTTATTTTTATCAAGTTATAATTGTTTGAATTGTAGACTTTCTGTATTATTATATAGCTCAAAAAGAAAAATTAATTGTTACTTCTTTGGACTGTCTTTATAGTACATGCCTCGGGATTCTTTTTTGCACTGAACATGATTATTATCAAAATTTGCATTAAGATAACACATTAAGATTTTTAGTAAAATGGGATGTTATACACTAAACTGGGATGGTTTTCAACCATTTTACTCCAATTTACTAAAAATCCTAAATACTACGCAAATTCTGTCAGTATTGAATTCAGCGCGAAAAAATTATGGGATAATGTATTATGACAGTTGGGAAAGGATTTGGGTATAAACAGTGCAAGAGATACAAGAATTATGAATAATAAATTCAAATATAATGACATATTGTTTATTTTAGCATTATTTTACAGAGAAAGCTGAATTATTTTTATTCATCAGCATTTTTATCATTCAAACAATCACTATATAGGAGAACCAATAGGTTCACCGTCAACTCCGAAGGTTTAATTGCATCCGATCCTCTTCAATGGATTCGATACGGCCAGTGATAACCAATAATCGGATTAAATGAAATACATAGTTGGAAAATTTGTGATAAATTTAACACATTTCATGTATTTTAAATGGTCCAAATTTTTGTGTTAATTCAACATAAATTAAATTTGTCAAAAAGTAACAAAATAAAAAATTAACACAAAAATGTAACACTGATATAATTTTATAAGTAGTCATATTTTTTCATTAAAATTAGCACTTGTAATATGTTGAATTAACGCGTTTCATTAATAAATTTATAATATGTTTAACTAACACATTTTATTCATTTATTTTAAAATTTACGTTTTGGAAAACATTACTTTTACGTTATTTGTTCACATGTTATTTTAACACTAATAAATGGTTTGATATCATCCATTTAACACAAAATATTTAAATTGTAACACAATCACATTAAAAAATTAACACTTGAATACGTAAAAATTTAACATAAAGTTTTAACGAGGACTTGAAGCAGACCGTTTCTAATACAAATATAGAATGTTTTTTTTTACCGTGTAATAGAAGAGGTATAATTAGAAAATATCCAGTAAGGCTGTAATCGCAAACGTCGGTTAGTTTCATTAGAAACTTTCAAAAATTTGTTTATCAGTAGCTCACTCAGTAGCTCCTCTGAAACTCGAATGAGAGAAACTAGAATTTGAGACTGAGATTGAATTTGATCAATCAAAGCAAAGCTTAGTAAATTTGACAGTAGTTTTATTTTCTTCTGAATGAGTAATTTCACAATCTCAATTTTAATTTCTATTCTGAGTTTGATCAATCAAAGCAAAGCTTATTAAACTTGACAGTAGTTTTATTTTCTTCTGAATGAGTAATTTCAATCACAATCTCAATTTTAATTTCTATTCTAAGTTTGATCAATCAAAGCAAAGCTTAGTAAACTTGACATTAGTTTTTTTCTTCCGAGTGATTAATTTCAATCACAATCTCAATCTCAATTTCTAATCCGATATATCCAATACCAATCTTCAACTCGCTGTCAAATCTTTGCGTCGCTAATAGTTGACGCAAAGAGACATAAATCCACGACAGACGTAAAGGCCAACGATCTCTCCGAGCCTAGGGGATACCGGGTACGGGGTACGGGCCCAGACCCAGGGAACGGCGGGATTAGATTCCGCTACGCGTGAACGGGCCCCGCCGCGCTGCGTGACGTGATCTCCGCTATGACGCAAGGGGAAGGCACAGCAGCCGCGTATATCCTGTACATCCTGCGCGTGTGGAGACACGTGGGAGCAAGAGAGACGTATCTTCGGGCGCTCTCGGCGAGTTTCGCGTCGCGGTGCGCGGCCGCCTCGTCACTTCGCGTCTGAGTACCGTCGCGTACGGACGTGTAGACGGAGCAACGAACTAACGAACGAACGAACGAACGAATGTACGGACGGACGGACAGACGGAGCAAAGCGAGCGAGTGGAGTCGCCGCTGATCAGCCAGCGCGGTTGCGCGTAGCTACGTTGAACCGTCGCGCCGCGGCGGGGGGTACGGACTCTCAGTGCACGACTTGACGCAGCGGCGAACGACACGAGGGAGACCGACCCCGCGATTGACACGCGCACGCTCGCGCCAAGGAGGCATTATAATCCGACATCCCCGTGGAAGAGAAGTGTTCCGCGCGCGCGGACGAAGAGTCGCAGCGAGAATCGAGAGTCTCGACGGCACGCCGCACGCGTGCAACGGATCGATCGTTCGTGACACATCGAGCCCGCCGAGTTGTGAGAGATTCCGGATATCGGGAATCTTGTTCTTGTTTTGTGTGAAACGCTACTCTCCGCGCGTCTCTCAAAACGTTACTCTCCTCTCTTCTTCTCCCTCTTCTCATTCTCGCGAGTCTCGTATATATATCTCGCTTTTCCTTTCTCTCTTTCGCGTGTATAACATTTCGATTACAACGAGTCTCAACGACGAAGACGACGGGAAAGACGTCGACGACGGACTGGCCTGTGGCCTCATGAGTGTCACGGATTGCGACGTCGCATCGCTCCGAGTGGACGACTACCAGTCGCGAGTCGCGAGGATTTCTCCGCGCGGATCATCGGCCGGCAGCCCTCTCGTCCTCCCATTGGTGAGTAAATTGAAAATGTGTGTACCTCGGGGTACGGGAAGGGGGAGCTTGTATTTCGAGATCGAGTAATTAACGCGATGATAGAGGAAATAATATGCGACGCGAATTCGTGGAAGGGATAACGATAGCGGCGAGTACAATGAGAAACGATAAACGGTGACGAATGATGAAACTTTAGTTACGATTATTTGGACGAACGAAAGATTTGCGATGAATCACAGCTGTTCCAGAAAGAAGAAACTTTCGATAGAACGATGAAGGAAGGATGAATTTGTTTTTTTTTTCGCGAGGTGTTTCTTTACGTTGCGTTAGCAGAAGAAACAGCAACCGTTGTAAGAATTTTCAAACTGAGATGTTACTGTGATGAATTTTTAGCATTTGAAGTTTTTGTTATTAATATTTGGATATTAATATTGCTAAATATAACATTTAATTTGTTTCGTTAGAGTTTCGATATTAGAATAATGTTAGTTTAGTTATTTTAACATTTTGCAAACTAAAATACATAAAAAAATGTAAAAGAATTCTTATATAATTATGTATTATAATATTCATTTAGTAAAGAATTATATATTTAATAAAGAATAGTTGGAAAATGTGTGTTAAATTTGACACATTTCGCAATCTATCTGTTTGTTTTAATTTAATGAATACGTTAGGAAAATAACATATTACGTAAAAAATTAACACAAAAAACGTAACACAATTTGTAAGCAATTGTATTTCTTCATTAAAATTAATATTTATAATATATTAAAGTAATGAAAAAGTAATAAAATAATAAATATTTATAATATATTAAATTAACACATTTTATTCATTTATTTTAGAATTCACATTAAAAAAAAAATTATTTTTATATTATTTGTGCATTTACTTATATTGTATTTTAACACTGAGAAATGTTGGATATCAATTTAACACAAAATATTCAAATAACATAATCACATTATATCGAATTAACACTCGGATATGTTCAAAATTCAACACAAAATTTTAACGATGACTCGAGTAGCTCGTTTTTAATACAAATGCAAAATGTTTTTTACTGTATAAGGATAAGAACCAATCATATTAAAGAATCTTATAACAGTTCAAAGTTGCTTTTTCTGCTGAACGCAGCCTTTGCCTTCACGCTCGCGTGACAGTTGCCATGCTGCGATTTGAAAACGCGACGATCGCGCGCAAAATCCAATTTAACTGTATGATCCAATTCCCGGTTTCCGCGCCTTTTTTCAATAAACATTTAACGTCCCAATTATCATAAAACACTGCAAAGATTCCATTTGCACGAAGCCACGTCGTAAAGAATTATCGAATTATCCGCTCGTGACTGTCATCACTGATTGACGGAATGTAATTCGCTGATTCGCTGCGTGATCCCGAAAATCGAAACATTCGACGCAATTTGCATTAATCTACGTGTGTGTGGCAAGATGCGTTGCATCGAATTGCATTTTCGACATTCGATCGATAGCGGGACCTTCCTGTGTTGCCCCGTCATGAAAATTATATCGAAATGCTTCTACATCCTGATAAAAGTCTACTGCGTACTCTCGTGAAATTTTTGGCGACAAATTGAAATTCAAATCGCGTTGGCAGTGGTTCTCAGCAGAGTATAAAGCCACGCGCATTGATGCACTTAATAGACAAGTTATTCCTCATGCGACACTCGCTTTTAAAACAAGATTTATCGCTCATTTCCACCCATCATCCTATCCATAAATCATATTTTTAAGAGCTCGAGATTATAGTTGTGGAAAGTTACTTTCTTTTAGCATGTAGAGTTTAAAAAAAAAAAAGATATATATAAGTTAGAGATACAGATTTCAAGATTTAAATGTAGATTTAATTATGAATTTGACAAAAATACGATTGACATTAAATTCTTCAATTAACGTTACCGTTGTTACGAATCGAGTAAATAGAAATAAACGGACCATAGGATCAATCGCGAGGTGATTCTCGATGGCTCTCAATAAGATCGAAAACGGGCGCACGGCCGACCGGATGAGGAATCAGTGGCGAAACAAGGCACTTACGAAGAGAGGGTACATCGAGAGGGAGGCTCGCGGGGGTCGCGGAGGGGACGTGAAGTACAGGACGGAAGAATCAACGGGAGCGGGGCGCGGGGCGTGTGTGCGTGTGTGCGTGTGTGCGTGTGTGCGTGTGTGCGTGTGCGCACGAGTATATGTACGTGCACGCGCGTGTGAATCGGCGCAAGCGCGTTCGCCGAAATGGAATAGTATGACTGAACTCGAACGAGAAAAGGGAAATAGCTGCGGGAAGGGTGAAGGGAATGAGATGGAGGTATGGAAGAGAAGGAGGAAGAGAGGAGAAAGAGACCAAGAGAGAGAGGGAGCGAGAGACAGAGAGGATGTAGCGTGGGGCAAACGCGAAGCAGGGAATGGGGGAGGCGGGGGGTCCAAGGCGTTGCTTGCTTAATTACTAAAAGCTAATCAATTCCGGAGGAAGTAAAGTTTAAATTGCAAACTAAAGTATAGCTACCCTCCCCCGGACGTAACCCTGCAAAGCGATATTACCGCTCGCTGCATTCTGCAATTAGCCCGTGGTAAATCATTGAAGGAAAATTATGGCCCGCGCGCGTATTCACGTCTGAGCGAGTAGCAGTTTTTTCGCAATTGGAAAAATTATATAGTCGCGGTTTTTACCGTGTCGTTCGCAGTTCACGATGTCCCTCTGTCTGCCAATCTTCTGTATAATAACGGTTGCCTCTTTTGTTTTCTTTTTTCTTAATAACGTTTATGCCGTTTTACACGAAGATTACATTTAGGTACTCGGAAAGAACGACGATTTTGTTGAAAGATCTAAAAATTTTGCTGGGTAATACAGATATGCAAATAATTCAATCAAGATAAATAATCCTATTTTCGGTCAAAACGGATTTTAATGCTGAAATATTTCGGTGTGAATTTATACATATCCAATTCGCGCACCGAAATTTTTTTCAGTCTTGAAACACAATTAACAGAACTAAAATAGTAATATGGTAATATTACCTAGAAAATCGACAAGCAATTTAATAATATTAGTGTTAATAAGCATATTATTACAACGCTATTTATAATTTGATTCTAATTGGCATCTTAAAAACTGAAAATTTTGTTGGAAACAAACTAATTGCTAGATGTTAATATTTATCGTTGCTCATCATTTTTTTAGTTTTCAACATAATGATATTTGATGATCCAACAAAATTATTTTCAAATCTGTATCGAGTGAAATTTTCAATCTTTCAAAATCATCCTTTTCGTGCAGGATCGATTTTTATGATCATTTTTTTTATGGTTACTCGCACTATACTGAATCGTTACATACATTAAAAGAATGTTGGAGGACAAAATTATTGATACATTATAATCATACAAAATTCTCCAAATTGACTGAACAGAATCAAAAATCCTTTCACAGAATTAAAATAGACGCAAAATTAGAAGGTGGGACAGTTGATTTTATGCTGAAATAAAAAAAAACTATGTTTTCTCATTGAGCTGACGTGGACATTTCCTTAATACAAAAGTTCTATAGCTCATATGAACAAAATGACATTGCATTACCCGTCGGATTACGTAAACGAACAATATACTGAGTTTATAACTAAGATTGAAAATTTAAAAAAAAGATTTACATTCATCTGCAAATTATGTATACATATAACGTGTATACGCTTAACTCAGAATGATAAACAGATAATTGTGACTAAGAGGAGAGAGAGAGAGAGAGAGAGAGAGAGAGAGAGAGAGAAATGCCAGATTTTGCAAAAGATGGCGCTGCAATGTGTTAGATAAAGACAGATGTATGCGTTTGAATAAGACAAAATAATAATAAGAAATGAATTAAAGATATCACTATTATTGACATTTTTCATTGATAAAAAAATTTGTACTATCGACATCAAACAAATTTGTGACTTCAGCACTCCCTTAACTCTTGTTTTATATAAAGTATTTAAATACAGTAATATAATCAATTTTGATAATAAAAAAATTACAGTATATATTAATTCCATTATTGAGCGAATTTCATTCTTATCTCAAACGATTTAGATAATTAAACGTTTAAGATAATTATGTGCTTTTATATTTAAGCTTTTTTAATTTTATATAATGTGAAAAGAATGATTTTGCTAAAATATCATAAAAGATAGTTACAGATCTGAAACTAATTTTATTGCACCATCAAAATAATTTAAATGTAGGAAACTCAAGCATAATGAGCCATGCTGCAAAAGTTTTAGCTATTCTGTAGCAACCTGCTTTAGCGTCCTGCATAATTATTTTAATGGTTCAACAAAATTATTTTCAGATATGTATTTAGTTAAATTTTCAGGTACTTCAGCAAAATCGTGCTTTCCGTGTATAGCAGTTTTTATTATGCATCAATCTAATCTAAAGCAAGTGACCGAATTCGTTATTAGGTTCTGGAATCTTATAGACCAAGTAATTCTGTGATTTCTTTCTCGAATAAAATCGCGTTTTACACTGAAACGATTTGAACGATATATCGCGGTATTTTTCGCGCGAAAGCAACGAAGTAAGGGTTGCCGAGATGGCAGTGGAAAACGTGTCGCGGTTCTGAGTAGAGCGAAGGAAGGTCGGCAGTAGGAAGATGGAGAAGAGGGTAGGATGAAGTATACAGCGCTGGAAACAAGCAATAAAATCAATGTCGTTTCCGGCGATTCAATTCGCAAGACACATCGCACAATTTCACATACAATTTTACGGCAGAACGACCACGACTCCTATTTACTTCACGGCCGCCATTCCCCTTTCCCTCCCCCTTTCCCCCTCTGTCGGCCGTTCGCTAGTTCACCCGTTTCACCGTTCCTCAATTTCTTCCTTTATCCCCGTATTTTATTTTTTACAAAATAATTCCATTTTGCTCTTGTTTACTTAACAAAGTAAGATTTCCCTCCCCCCCAAAAAAAAAGAATTTTACGGAAATTATATAAGAGAATGACAGAGAATCTCTCTCGTTAG